GTGTGTGTGTGTGTGTGTGTGTGTGTGTGTGTGTGTGTGTGTGTGTACAGAAATGTGAAGTTTGAGTCATTGTTTTGACTCACTTTGCCAATTTAGCCACATAAATTTATGACGGCAACTGTCAATTGACTGAGCTCACCAGGCTGGTTTTTATTACAACTCCTCTTGCACCGCTCAACACTTTTAACAAAGTTATTCTGTCATGTTTGTTTTTTATTTTTTTATTTTATTTTTTTGATGTTGCTCATTGCTCTGATTTTCCTCCCAAGCTTCTGATCGAGCTTTTCCTTGATCTTCATAACCAGGAACAAAAATTCGTATTTTGTTCTTTTGTGTGTTTGTTTTTTCTTTTATTCGTAACTAATATGATTTAATATACAGTGTATGTTTGTAGTAATGATTAGAGAGGCATCCATCAATCCATTCGTTCTTACCCATTTTCTCCTTAGTCAAATAAGCAGATACACGAGATAATGGTGACTTGTCTGTGTTTAGAAAACTATGGGTTATAATAAAGTAAATATAATAGTAATACAATTCATGCTTATCAGACAGTTGCAGACTTATATAAACTTTTTTTTCTTTCTTTTTCAGGGTCAACCTGTGGGCCAGTGTGACTTCAATATCCGACTGGTGTGCATAGAAAAGGAAATAATTTCTCCTCGGATGGAAAAGATGAAGCTGGGGCAGATAGACAAAACCAAGGAGCCCTTCAGCGTTCGAAATAAGCCGTTCTTTGACATTCATGCATCGCGGAAGGTAATGTGCTCTCAGATGTACTTTTCGCCTTCCAATCTAATCCCCCTGCCCTTTATTTTTGGCAGATGTGACCCAGTCTTAACTCGTCGTTGCCTTTTACACAGAACCGCTCGAACGCACACGGCTCAGACGTCTTGTAAGCCCAAGCCTAATCTGTCGGTAGTTTCGCTGTTATTTCCTTCAGCGTTGTTTTCGATAGTAACAGTTCTTCAAGGACAAATGGGTCCCAGGAGAAGGTTGAGAGGAAGAGCTGAAACACTTACATACACCTTTTATCTTATGGAAAGGACAGTCTCAAGGGAGGGAGGGAGCTCACAAACGAGTGTCTGATTCTTACCCACTGGGACCCATCAGGTGGAGCCTCCAGATGAAGTGATTGGTGGCCTGTATTACTCTACACCGCCTGTGTTTGTCTTTTTTTTTGTGTGTGTGTCCTTGCAATAATGGAAGACATATCTCTATTGATTCTTACTAAAAATACATTGTCTTGCTTATTGCAAGCTGTATTTCTCAGTTTATTTTTGTTGATGTCATATAAAAATGATCACGGCTGAGCGTACAGTACCAGTGCAGCTTTTATCGCCCCAGTTGCTGCTCGGCTCTCCTCAAACGTTTGCACTCGTGCCCTTACCTCAGGTCCGTGGGAGGTCAGAGCACAATTAATTGTGTGTTTGGCTCAAACAAAGACCAGTTGGAAGTCTTCCTGCTCATAGATGATCAAACTGCAAGGAGGTGGGGTGGGGGTGACGTTATGACACTTCTTTGAATTTTTCTCACGTCTCCCTCTGCCAGCGTTGGCTTCTTGGTGGGTTTTTTTGTTCTTTGTAAAACGAAGGATCGTGCCACCTCTGTTCAACCATGTGCTATCCACATTTCTAAGAACCTTTATGAAGTATCACCCCGGCTGAATTTGGGGTTCATTTTGACGAAGATATTCTGGAAGTGAAGTCATTGAAACAGAGTCTGGGTTCTGACTGGCCTATTGTGTTGCTCAGAGGCCATCTGCTCTCCGTACAGTCCCATCTCTGTTTTATGAGACATTAGCTGAGGAGAACCAGAATCTGGCTCATTAATTCATCTCAACACAACCCTCCACTTCATGGCATATCAGCCAGAAATTCCTACTAGGAATATTTCAGTCACGCGGGAGATGTATGATGGCTTTTGTTTTCTGCTAAGCTGCTGTTTTTCATCTCAGCCACATATACATTTATGCTGCCATTTCCTTCCAAATTGGAGCCATTTTTTTGTTTTACTTCCTTCACTTATCCACTTATCTTACAAAGAACGTTATTATTATTATTTTTTTGTTTTAAAGGCTTGCACATCAGAACAAATGCATATTATATGTGAGGAAATTCCCTCTTGGATGAGCTGAAAATAATAAATCTTTTCTGAGCTTGCTGCGCTGCTGTGCAGTTAATTTGTTCTATAATTTATATAATGCAATTGCAAACTAAATCATAAATTATTTTTAAATTCACTTTGTTTTGTGATTATAAATTATAAATTGAATGTAAACCTTTGCTGTTACAGACAGCTTAAAGATATGAAAAATACACAAAGGGATAGTTCAGATTTTTAGAGCATATTCAATCAAATGAACATATTAAAAAAATTAAAAAATAAATGTCATTGAACAAAAAACTAATGAAAGACGTCACATTAATATCATGTTTACCATGTTTATGAAATTCCCTGGGTTGCAATTCCAGAAAAAAACAAAAATGGAACCTTTTATTAGAAAATTAAATATCGTAAACATCAATATTTTATCACTTTTTTCCAATTAACTAACACGTGCAGTTTGGCTCTAAGCCAATCATCTTTTACTGTGCTGTGAATTTTCTTAGAAATACTAAAAGTTTATTGCTTCTTGAAAATCAAATCACTGCAACGTGGCTTGGTTTTTATATCTTTCAACCAAGCGACGTGTTGACCTGCCAGTATGAAATGTGAAGCAGCTGGGATTGGTTTTCATGGGGGGAAGTGTTTGAAATTTTTTTTCTATTTTGAGATGAAGACACAAATTATTGCAGGAATGTAAAACGATGCCCAATTCAATCCCACTTCAGGGCAGAGTAGAGCTTTAATATTGCCTAATCTGTGTGGCCATATTATTTTCTGGAGGCAGACATTTGATAAAACATTTAATGTGAATTATTTTGACATTTAAAATTTTCAGTTAATAGTTTGTATTCTGACAGCCTAAACACATGCATAAAAATACATATAACACTGCTTTATATAATCCATGGATTATCAAATGTTTCCAGGCTATTGGTCTCGTCTGGAGTTCTGTTCTCAGTTTTAATGTACGTAAGTTATGCACATTAGTTTGAATCGATGGAAATAATTTTCTCTGGCCTTGGTGAATTGGCCGAAAAGTGTTTTTGGCAGGGACTCGTGCGTTCCCCTCTGAATTAGAAACGAGTCACGACTGGAAGGTCTCCTCATGTTTTTACCCAAGATGAATTTAATAGAACTGGCAATTTGAAAAAATGAGTTTACATGGTAGAAATTCATGTTTTCTCTGGGATTACAGAAATGAATGTTAGTTTCAGATAATAGGATGGTAAGTTTTGGGCAAAAACTGTATGTAGAGAGACATTTTTACCAAGAGAAGCCCACTTATTTTATTTTTAAAAATGTCTTTGTGTAGATATTATTGTTAATCCTTACAACTTTATGTCTACAACATAAGGACTTCAGATAAATCACATTTTTTTGTGATGTGTTTTAGCTTTACAATGATTGAATTAACAGCATGTACCTGTAACAAGACTACTATAAGACTGACAAGACTCCTAACTCGAACCTGCAAATCCACCCACATCTCCCCGATCCTAGCAGAACTTCACTGGCTTCCGGTTCAATTCAGAATCCGGTTCAAAATCCTGGTCCTCACCTTCAGAGCTCTCCATGGCCAAGCACCTGAATACATTAAAAGTCTCATTTCACCTTACAACCCCAGACGGGACCTCCGCTCACAGGATCAACATCTCCTTATGGTTCCCCTCACTCGCTTTAAGYKCRSTGGTGACCGGTCCTTCTCCTCTGTGGCCCCCAGGCTCTGGAATGAACTCCCTTTTAATCTGCGCTCCCTTGATAACATTGTCTTTTTCAAGACACTCCTAAAAACACACTTTTTCACTCAAGCGTTTAGCTAACCATTTCACCATAACTGCCAGCCCACCTCCATTGTGAATGCTCGTCAATCTGTGTTTTCTTTACTATTGAACTTATGCCATATTTTTCTCTCCCGCATTCATTATGTTTTTGTATTATTGTAAATTTTGAACTGCATTGACCTTGTGTTTGATTTACAATTTTAGAAATTAATTTCTTGATTTGATGTTTCAATTTTTCGTTGCTTATCAGTGTGCATTGCATTGGCAATGCACACTATTGTGATTCGTTTCCCATCCAAGTCATCTCAACTTTGGCATGCTTCTCCTCCTGCATACTTTGTCCTGGAGCTGCCACTGTAATTTATATCTGTAAAGCTCCTGTGCCAAATGATGGCTATGCCTTTTGGTGCCTGTAAAACTTATAGTTTATGAAATATTAATGTTTAATGAATTATAATGGCAGTCAGTGGAGCCTTGTATTGGTCCAATACTGTCCCATGATGTACTCAAGTTGGTACTGCATCATAGTTTAATATTTCAACTCAGTAGTTCAGTGTTTACTGTACTGATATGATTGTATTTTGATGTTTTACTATAATATTGTCTAAATACTGCTCGATTGTTGTAATATTATGCATTTTTGTGTCAATAATTGTATTTGCAATGTGGCCTCTTTCTGCACACATACAAACCAACCCCTGCCACCACCTTTTGCCACAGGTCCATTGGTCTAATGGTCTATGCCATGGATTTACATGTGGGAGATCAGGGTTCAAAACCCAGCTTATGGAACTTTAACAAAAAAATCTCTTCAAATTTCATATTGTCACACAATTACCTTAATTACAAGCACCTGCTGATGTGACAGGCACAAGCTGGTATAGCAAACACATTTGAACTTGGTCAAAGTTCATTCGGCAAGTCCAATGCTGCAGGCAAATCCATGCTGCAATGACATGCTACATGGCAATGCACACTTGTTTTTACATCGTAAAAACTCATGTCTAGTGTGTAATTATGTTTTTCTGTTTCATTTTATCTTTCCACTATTTTTATACTGGTAATGATTTACAGCACCTTGTGAATATATTTCTGTGAAAGGCGCTTTATAAATAAAACTTTACTTACTTACTTACCAACAGAAATATTAGAAAAAGGAATCAAAAAAGCCAAAGTTCTTTAAAAATGAAAGAATACTGAAGAATGAAACATCAGTGATGTTCTGTACTTTTTTTTAAAGCCTACATTATGTGACGTAGGACTGACTGCAGAGCTGTGAGTCATCTACAAGGCACCACCTGGCTCTTGCGTCACTTCAGAGTTCCCATCTGTAACTGTAATTTATAATGGGACTGATTGGTTCAGTTTATTCATTCAGCAGCAAATCACACATAAATCATCTCTGGGCGGTTTTACATTTACAAATAATTGGATTTTATTTGCGTTTACACTGTGCAAAACAGAAAACTACCACTATGAAACATCTTGGTACTGTAAGTATTCAGGTTTTTATGGACAGAACTTTACAAACGGCAGTGAAAACAGCATTTTGCATTGTGCAAAATAAACAGTCTGGCTCAATTAACCATAATTGGAGGATTTCATCCTTTAGATTTTGCATCCAGTTCTCCTAAAAAGAGACACGCCATACATTTAGATAAGATTGCAACTACAAAACTAGGTTAACTGAAACTTCAAAGATCAAAATATTGCATCAGTTTTATCCCAAAATTGTAACCAGAACCTCAATAAGAAGCTTTTTTTCTCCTGTTGAAACAGGTTTATAATTGTAAGAATAGAAAAGAAGAAGTAGTTCCTCATTAGCAGTGAGCTGTCCATCAGGTGGTCCCTTGTTGCTGACTGACCTCA